CCAGAGTCCAGTTGTGATACCTGGTGATCTTCAGACTCCACCTGGAGGTTGACTGCCCTAGGCGTAGCAGTCAGTGCTTCAAAGCAGGGACTGCTAGATCCAGGTTCTTGCTGTAGAAGCTGAGTGGGTGATTTTGGACCAGTCACATACTTTCAGCCTAATCTACCTCACAGGGTTGTTGTGCAAGTTGTGCAAGGGGGAGAGGAGAATGATGTAAGCTGCTTTGGTGTCCCCCATTGCAGAGAGAGACTACTTTTCCTCCTGAGAAACAACTGTTGCCAATCTCCAGGTGAGGGCTGGAGATCACTCAGAATTACAACTGCTCTCCAGATGGCAGAGATCAGTTCCCCTGGAGAAAATGGTGGACTCTGTGGCAGTCAGGGCTTCAGAGCACGGAAAATGGTGGACTCTGGCAGTCAGGGCTTCAGAACACGGGAGAGGCTGCAGGGATGTGTGTGTGGGGAAATGGAAAGTTGAAGAGAGAGGGGGAAATAAAGGTCAGTTGATGATTGGCTGGGAAGGAGATAGGATTGCCAACTCCAGGTGGGAAATTCCTGGAGATTTGAGGGATGGAACCTGGAGAGGGTGTGTTTTGAGGAGGGGTGGGACCTCAGACTGGTACAATGCCATAGACTCCACCCTCCCCACCAGCCATTCCCTTCTGGGAGACCACTGTTCCCAATCTCAAGAGTGGGGTGGAAATCAACTACAACTGATCTCCAGGAGGGAGGGGGGAGGAGATGCAAGGCTGAAATCAGAGGGGCAGATAATGGCAGGTTGATGCTTGGCTGGGAAGGAGATAGAGTTGCCAACTCCAGGTTGGAAAATTCATGGAGATTTGAGGGATGGAGCATGGAGAGGGTGAGGTTTGAGGAGGGGTGGGGCCTTAGACAGGTACAATGCCATAGACTCTACCCTCCAGACCAGCCATTTCCTCCTGGGTAACAATTGTTGCCAATCTCCAGGTGAGGGCTTGAGATCACTCAAAATTAGAACTGCTCTTTAGGTAGCAGAGATCAGTTCCTCTGGAGAAAATGGTGGACTCTGTGTCATTATACCCTGCTGAGGTCGCCACAGCACATTGATGCTGAGTGCCCAAGGCCTTGGCACTCTTCTCAGAGCCTCTTTCTAGAGCTCGTTGTATTTATTTCCACAACGAGCCTTATTCCTAGTTACATAATATATTTGGATATTACCCTAGCAAGCTTGCAGTGCCCACAGATTTAGAAGGATGTATCTCTGCTTGGGACTGCACTGCTGGTAGCTGGTTTACATCCCTGATAAATGAGGCAGTTTAAAGAGATTTTACGTTTTCCTCAAACCATATCCAAGCAGTGTGCTAGTATTGTTTGGGACAAGTTATCAAGAGCAATGCAATTCCTCTTTCTTACCTGTTCTTTCATTTCATTTTTTGGGGGGACTCTAAGTTTCTCTTCCTTCATCTCCTGATTCTGCATCTCATGATAGCGGGGATCAGCAGACGATGGCCGCAGCCCCTATTAATTTGGACAATATAGCAGTAACATATGAAATAGATTTTCTTTCCTTTATTGAAACCACCCAACCACCTCCATTGAACACTGAAATTAAAATGTATATGTTCACGGTGGTTTTGCCACACATTTCTAAAAGCATTCCATTGGGATTCCTGCACCAATTAATAACAGAATTTTTACTAATTTATCAATTCCAATTTATGAATTCATTTTATGAATCAGTATTGCCTTACAAGTTGCTTCTCTACTTTTATCTTGTATTGCTGGGCATTGAATCGTCTTTGAAGGTAGTCTGCAGGCCTAAGAGAAAGCAGAAACATTGATTGAGAAACTGAAGCGGAGATGGACATGGCATTTTATGTTTATTTTGCTGATTTCCCATAAGCGTTGTGCTGCATTAAAACATTCAATATCAAGTATTATTTTCCACTTGGCTTCTCTGTTTTGAGTCGTGAATGGCCTAATAGTTCCAGAGTGCCTCTAACTGAAAATGGTATTAGCTGCCTACTGCAACATATTTCAAAGGGCACATTGTAAATAAAATTGCTGTTAATAAGTTTCATTTCGGGATGTCAGCTTTGAACGTTAACAGGTCAAAATCGATAGGCTTAGGCTGGCTACAGAATTAGACCAAGGAGTTGGAATAAACTAATACAATCTTATAGATTTTTATACAGCTAGAAATTACTGTATTATAACAGTGATATAAACATTCAAGAAAAGAAATTATTACCAATGAGGCGGTGGTGATGGTGGTTCTTGTCCTTTCTGCTTAAAATAATCTTCCATTCTTTGGCTAATATGACAGTCGCCTTCCCCAGAGGCCCTCTCCCGCAACTTGTCAAGTTTTTCATAATAGTGGTCGTAGGGCCCACACATTCTGACAAACTCTGGCTTCCCACACAACTTAAACTTAGGATTCCTGTGCTGAAAACGTATCACAAATGAAAAAGTTATTACAGCAAACAAATCTGAAATGTCCGTGAACAAAAGGGTACACCTAGCTCTAATCTCTACTGATAAAATGTTCGGGTGATTTTCAGCATTTCTTCCCTACTTTTTAAGTAATATTATCAACTGCCATGGCCTGACAAAAGCCTACGCAACCAACTCAACAACTTCTTAGAAACATTCCCTATCCTGTTCCACTCGTCCAGAGAGTTATCAGCCTGGCTTCTATGTAGGAGAATAATAGACATTTCACCTTTATTTATTAATTTAATGTTATCAAAATATGTGTATTTCACTTCTCCTTCTGGCTCACAGCTCCTTACAAATCATAACTAAAAACAATAACAGTTTAAAGCCAACTGAAACCCCAAATGAACCCCTCAGCCCAAAAGATACCTGCAGTTTATATTCCATTAAAAGCCCTGGCAAATAAAATGGCCTTGCGGTGTCCCTTAAGAATTTCTAAAGGTGGGTGCCCCCCCCTCACCTCCTCAGGGAGCCCATTCTACAGAGTTGGGGCCACAGTGGAGAAGGCACAGGCTCTGGCTGATGCCAGGTAGCTACCATAAGTGTGGCAGCCACCAATAGGTGACAGCCTGAGGACCTCAGTTGACACATGGGGATATATGAGAGGAAACGGTCCTTTAGATCTATAGGAGGAGATGTTCCTTTAAATACATGGGTCTTAGGCCATCAAGGGCCTTAAAGGTCATGAACAGCACCTTGAATTGAACTCTGAAATAAACTGGCAGCCGGTGTAGCTGTTTCAAAATGGGTAAGATAGGTTCCCAATGGCTAGCTGCTGACAGTAATCAAGGTGCTGTATTCTGAACCAGCCCTCTAGAATTCACAGTCACATAAGTAAGTAAATTTTGACTATAAGCCTTATTATCCTCCTCAGGCAAACATCATTATTCTCACTTACTGCTGTGAGGCAAAAACAAACAACACAAAAGGATCCACAGAGAATTTTCTGTTACCTGGACAACAGGGTCCTGCAGTCTTGAAGATTTGCATTCGTTTTTACCTAATAATTTTTGTTTTCCAGCATGCACCTCCATCTTGGGTCTCAGAGGATGACGACCATGGATTTTTAATTTCTGAGCTTTAGGTGCTGATTTAAGAATACAAGTAAAACATTTTAATAATCATGCCTAAAGTGCATTATATAGCTATGATACAAAAGATGTAGACTGAATGGGCCAGTTTGGTCTAGTGGTTAAGTGCGCGGACTCTAATCTGGGAGAACTGGGTTTGATTCCCCACTCCTCCACTTGCACCTGCTGGATGACCCTGGGCAAGCCGTAGTTCTGATAAGGAGCTGTTCTTGAAAAAGAGCAGTTTCTGACAAGAGCTCTCTCAGCCCCACCTACCTCACAGGGTGTCTGTTATGGGGAGGGGAAGGGGAAAGGAGTTTTTAAGCCGCTCTGAGACTCCTTTGGGTAGTGAAGGGCGGGGTATAAATCCAATCTCCTCCTCCTTCTTCTTCTTAATAGGATAAAGGTTCCTACCCTCTCTCTCTGCCATGGAAGCTTGCTGAGTGACCTTGGGCTTGTCACACTCCCTCAGCCTAACCTATCTCACAGGGTTCTTGTGAGGATTAAATGGAGGAGAAAAGGCCAATGCACACCACCCTGAACTCCTTGGAGGACAGGAGGCAGAATAAAAATGCAGTAAATAAATAATTTGCATGCGTGCAATATGGCTCTGTAACTTGTGACCAATGAGTGACCTTTTCGAGTAACCCTGACCAATGTGCAGGCAATACAGATGCCATCGTTTTGCCAGTCATAATGATAGGTGTTGAGCTTTGTATTTTCGTTGTCAAGTCACAGCCAAACTTATGGTGACCCCCATAGGGTTTTCAAGGCAGGAGACGTTCAGAGATGGTTTGCATAGCAACCCTGAACTTCCTTGGTGGTCTCCCAAACAAGTACTAACCAGGGCTGATCTGTTTAGCCTCTGAGATCTGATGAGATTGGGCTAGTCTCAGTGTTGCGCTAGCATGCCTAAGAAAAGACACCAGAGAAAACAAAAAAAGAACACCCTGAAGGAATGCAAAAACAGTACAGAAGTACAAGGAGGTATAGAAAAAGTAGGGTCATACTGTAAACTGCAGGCTGAAAACACTGCTTGAACCCACAATATGAAAAAATACCAGCTTACAATTATAAACAATATTCAATGTACCTATAAGTGTATAAATACAGAGAAAATGGACAGTATAAATGTTTAAATATATAGTACATCAAGAAGGAGCCATCTGTTTTAGCTGCTTTTTGATGTATAATATATTTAAACTTTCCATTTTCCTCTGTATTCATACACTTATTATGGGTGCATTATATATTGTTTATAATTGTATGCTTGTCACATTTTGTTTTCATATTGTGGGTTCAGGCTGTGTTTTCAATTTGCATTTTGCAATACACCCCTACTTTTTTTTGGTTCAATCCTTTTATTGCTCATAGACCAATAGGTCATAAGTAGATATACAAAATATAGTACATGCAGTGGAGTACATCATACGTTATAATTTACAGTTTCACAGAATTATGTAGTTTAGTTTACCGAATATACATTAATTACCTAAAAAGGGCAGAGTCAATTCATTTAATTCCACCCAAGGTTACAGATAAAAACGTTGCCACTACCAGCATCACATTTGAATCAGTATCAGCTAAGAGATTAGCTACAAGTTCCTGATTAGAAGGAGGGTTCCATTTTTGAATGTACACTGAAATCCATCTGTCACAAGCCATATTATATTTCTTACAATCAATAAAAAAGTGCCAAATTGTGTCCAAATCGCCTGAATTACAATTGCAAAGTCATTCTGAAAAAGGAGTCCCTAGAAATCTACCTGTTAGTTCCCCAAGGGAACAGCCCTACTTTTGATATATCTTCTTGTACTTTGTTTTGGCTTGCTTATAAAAGACATGGGAGGGAAGGCAGCATGGCATAGTTTGACCTCATCAAGTCTTGGAAGCTATGCAGGATTGGTACTTGGATGGGAGACCACAAAGGAAGACTGTAGAGCAGGGGTGGCCAAACTTGCTTGACGTAAGAGTCACATTGAATAAACGTCAGATGTTAAGAGCCGCAAGACATGAACAAATATTACACAGGTTTTATTAGAAAATATGCAAACTTGCTTTTTATTAACATTAAATGAGAGTGCCAAAATAATGACAAAAGTGGTAAAAGCAGATAATGATAATGATATTTATTTGTCCAATGATATTTAGTTTCCCCAGCCACCCTGCCGGGAGCCGCACAATATGTGTGAAAGAGCCGCATGCGGCTCCCAAGCCACAGTGTGGCCACCCCTGGTGTAGAGGAAGGCAATGACAAACCACCTCTGCTTCTCACTTGCTCACTTGCCTTGAAAGCCCCTTGCTGGGGTTGCCATAAGTGGGTTGCAACTTGACGACACTCACAAACATAAAATACACACTGTAATCCATGTTCGTGCTCTTTTAGGTAACATAACAAGACACCTGCTTTTAGCCCAGTGTCATCTTGTGAACAGCACACACATGACGATTTCAGTGTACTGGAGAAAATTTGGACAAGCTAGCCTTGCCATCAAGCTTCTCCTTAAGGCCTAGCGCTCCTGATCCTACTTCTCTCCTACTGCACTTGCAAATAGAGGCCAAATCTTGGAATCTCAAGTGCCAGCCCTGTTCAACAAGGCACACATGCTTAAGCGCACTGCTGAAGGCTGGCCTTGATGCTGCACTTCTCCTTAAGGACTAACAACTGGTTGCCTGCTTACTAAAGAGCATCTCTGGTTCTTTTATGCACATACCCATTACAGTACTCTATAAAAACCTTTGGGGATCACAACTTACCAGATGACACTGAAGCTAGCGGTCTTTTTCTGTGAATAACAGTGTGGCTGAATTCTTCTTCGATTAGCTAGAAGCAAATAACAGACACGTGTATACATGCATACACACACACACCTATGTATCTTTGTGCTGTATGTATGTATGTTGATCCAAAGTATGTCCCATTCAGCAAGCTGTCCAAACGGCAAGCTCAATCTGGCAGCCCAAGGTGTGGGACACACAAAAGCCTTGTTTTTATTTCTCTATATGGAAAGCAGCATTGCTCACAGGACAACTCTTTTCTTTGATGAAAACCTTCCTAGACATCACACAACATGCACAGAGGATAAAAGAAACAAGATGCACCTCCCCACCAAGACAGAAAAAAAAAGAGGACAAGGGATATGGTTAACAACCAAGGAAAGAAGAGATAGTTTATATTCTTTTACTGGGTTGAGCTTCCCTGAATTCACATAAGACACACTCACCTCTGGAGATAAATGTTTCTTTATTCGCTTCTCCAAGAAGGGCTTTTTCAATATGGAGTTGATAGAAGGGCGATTTCTTGGAGCTGTTTTAAACAACTGGGATATTAAAATTCTCAAGTCATACGAATACTTTGTAGATACCGGCACGAAATGGCCTCTGCAGATCCTCAGCACGAGTTGGTGAATATTTACACCTTCAAACTGACATTAAAATACATTCCATAAATAGTAAACTGCCACATGTTGCGGCCCTGTGCTAACACAAACACAAAACGCTTAAACGGGCTAGCAGACATCCAAAGATGAACTAGGAGAAAGGAGTCGTGGCTCTTCTCTTCAGGCTAGGTTTATTACCCCTCCTCTGTGATGTCCTCTCCTTTCATCCGGAAAGGCTAAAGACTAGGTTGGGGGTGATATGAATGCCTATCCCTGCTTGTATACCAACCAGTTGGAAAAAGGCGAACAATCTTGAAAAGTACTGGGTTCGCCGCATGGAGGACTCGGACAACGACATGCGTTTGTACACGTTTATTCTACTTAACCCTGGAACTGGAAAAACGGCCCTGCAAGGCCAACTATATACACACCCAACCAGCATACCCACACTCCCGTTGGAGGGTTTGAATTTCCCGCCAAAGTAGCTATTGGTTAATGCTGGGGGAACTAGGATTCTAGGTTCCTATTGTTTAGAGGAGCTAAGCTCCTGACTGTAGCTGCAGACCCCTGGTGGCGGTCCGCGTACATAACAAATCTGCTACTGGGGAATATCAGGTTTTATTCTTTAAAAAAATCTAGCATCCAACTGGTGGGATGCTGTAGAAAAGATCTGAAAACATGTCGACAGCATCCACTAAAGACTCAGGGATTCCAGCAATTAAAGGCTATGATTTCTCAATCCCCAGCCCCCCCACAGTCTTTCTGCTACTCCCACCTTCTGCCCATGTCTTCCCTTGCCTTCTACTATCAACAACTGTTCCCTAAGTGATCTGAATTTTGCAACAAACTGAAGTACTGCACTGAAAAAGTAAGCAACTTGCACAACGTGCGCCATTTTCAAAGTACATAATTTGCAATTTCTTCAGTACAGCACCTTAAGGAAAATCCACTTAATTTATTAAGGTTAAAATTCCTCCACAGAAAGCAAATTCATATTTTTTAACATCATGCCAAGTCAGCCTTTTACCATCTGCGGCTGGTGCGGCAGTTTGTCCCCTTCCTCGACCGCGGTGACTTGGCCACAGTGATCCATGCGACGGTCACCTCAAGGCTAGACTACTGCAACGCGATCTACATGGGGCTGCCTTTGTCGCAAATCCGGAAGCTGCAGCTAGTGCAGAATGCTGCGGCCAGGCTGTTGACGGATCTTCCTAGAAGGGACCACGTCCAGCCCGTGCTGAAAGCGCTGCACTGGCTGCCAATAGCGTACCGGATTCACTTCAAAGTGCTGGTTCTTAACTTTAAAGCCCTACATGGTCTGGGTCCAGCTTACCTAAGGGACCGCCTTTCCTCCTATGTTCCCCCTCGAGCGCTTCGGTCTGGGACCCAACACCTCCTGGCAATGCCAGGTCCCAAAGAGGCCAGGCTGGCCGCTACCAGGGCCAGGGCTTTCTCGGTGGCGGCTCCTACCTGGTGGAATGAGCTCCCAGAGGAGATCCGGGCCCTGCAGGACCTTATGCAGTTCCGCAGGGCCTGTAAGACGGAGCTCTTCCACCAGGCGTATGAGTAGGAGCCGCCACTAACATCACTGCTATTCCATCTTTACCTGGCCCTGGATGAGGTGAACATCAGTCCCTGGAGCATATGAGGCTGAACAGTTATAAAAAATGCCATCTGATCTTATGTTGAACATCTAGAGCACTCTAGTCAAATAATTGTTAAGAATATTTTTGTATTGTGGGATTTATAAATGTTTTTAAATTTGTTTTATATTGGCGTTGCCACCTGTAAGCTGCCCTGAGCCCGCATTGCGGGGAGGGCGGGGTATAAATTGAATTAAATAAATAAATATTAAATCTCTACAAGCTGTGATGAATCATGCCTTATGTGCCTTGCTTCAGTTCCTGTTGAATAATGGATTGCATCTTACTGGGTATTCTAGACTCATCATATTTAGTTTGTGACACTCGACCATGTGTCATCTCCAAAGGACCTGCCTTTCGATGGCATACGTATGTTACCAAAAAGCCTTTAGGTACCTGTAGGATTTTACACATTCCACTACTTGTTTTAATCCTTCTGATTTCAACAGGCGTGCAGGGCAAAACCGGATGGATGCCAGTTAGCAGACAAAGGGTTGGTCCCGCCAAACATTTCCACTGATGGGCAGGCAATATTTGCCAATTTCGCCCTCCTAGAGCAAGCCTCCAAATCTCCCCTCATGCCCTTCCTGGGAGCCCCTATCCCTCAAGAGCAGGGGGTGCAATACGGCTGCACAGCAGGAGAGGGGAAAGTGAGAAGGTCACACTCCATTGATGGACATCCTCCTGCCGGCAGTAATTTTTGTCAGGATTCAAGACACTTACATTGAGAGAACTTAGTGCAAGTGTTCAGGGAACCACTCTCTGAAGACATGTCATAGGAAAAAAGCTCAGTATAAATATACCTTAACACGGGCGAGAATCATCGCTACACGCATAAAGTTAGGTGGAAATAATGGAGATAATTCTACACTCTTACTCTTTTTAGACACCATGGTTTTGTGAACAGACCAATTATGCACCACCTGTGCTAAGTTATTTTTGATTGTATAGCCTACAATGCTGGCTTAGGAAATTCACTGAGCACCTCTTCCCATATTACATCTGGAAATTACATCCTGTGCCAAATCTACAAAGCCTGGCTTCCTAGATGGCATACAATGTAGCACCTATGTTGCCTCTTTCATTAATGATTTCAAATAGATGAAAAGGTAAATATGCAATCAGATCTCCCACTCGTTTCCAAATATTAAAAGCAACTGCTGGAAAACCCCAACCTGGATCCGGAACACAGCAATGGGGGATGGGATATCAACCCTGTCCTTCACATTCACCATTTCCCTGATTTAAATTAACCCACAGAGGCCAATGGGGAAAAATCTGGGTAATATATAGGTGCTCAGACCTGGAAGGCCCAGGCTAGCTTGATCTTGTCAGGTCTCAGAAACTAAGCAGGGTCAGCCCTGGTTACTACTTGGATGGGAGACCACCAAGGAAGACCTGGGTTGCTATACAAGAGGAAGGCAATGGCTAACCACCTTTGCTCATCTGTTGCCTTGAAACCCCTATGGGGTTGACATACATCGGCTGCGGCTTGATGGCACTTCCCACCAATCTAAGGGTCCTATAAGTTTCCTGTTCCCGAGCAAATGTCATCAGGGAGGAATCAAACATAGAAAACAGCATGTGAATAAAAGGCTAAGCTCCCCATCTCTCCAAGCAATGACCCTGATCCTCCATTCCTTATGGTAGCTTTTTAACATTTGAAAAAATTGGTGCTTCTATCACAGATCCACCCTCTTTCCTAATTTGGTTTCAACAGCCATCACTAAAATGCCACACTGGAACAACCTCCAATTGCGATATTATGTTAAATGACATATGACTAATCAACTTATACAAATACTTACAGGATGTTTTAAAGTACAGAGCTCATATAAAACACATCCAAGAGACCATATATCTCTGTAAAAGGAAACAATCAGTGTATCAGGGAAAACTGAATCTAGCAACACAACAAAGTATCCTCTTCAACTCTGTGTTCAGTAACATAATTCACAATATTTGATTTAAAAAAAAACATGTTGGATTTGTCATATACCATGAAAGCTACCTATATATCTAATAGCGAAGCCGCCCCCTGTGTGCAGATATCTAAATCCGCACATCGGGGGCACCTGGGGGGCAGGGAGATTTTCCTGCGCACGTGGGGCAATGCCCAGGTGTGCAGAAAAATATGAAAAGTTGAAAAAATATTTAAATTACCTAAAAAGTAAAAATTAAAAGAGCGTTCCCTGCACATGCGCAGAGAATGCTCTGGGAACTGGCAGGCCGGCGGCTGGAAGGCGCTCAGGCCTCGCCGGCGGAGTCGGGGTGGGGGAAGGAGATCG